GCAAATTATTTCAGCCGAAGCTGGGCGCATTATTTTGGTTTTCATTTCACCACCGTGCGGAACAGCGAGCAAAGCACGGGAGCGGCCTATCAAATCCTCACTTCTGTTTGTGAGGAAACAGCCAGAACCACTCAGGTCGTCAACGAGACCAGATCAAAAGGACGGGCTGTCAGGCCTGGACAAGTTCAAGACAGAGATGGCCAATCAACTTTACGACGCAGTGCGCAAAATTGTTTTGCATTGCAACGAGCTTGGCCTGTGGGTTCTGGTTGAAAACCCACGCAACAGTCTTTACTGGGAAACTACGTTTACTCAGCAATACATTCAATGCATTGAAACTTTTTGGATTGATTTTCACAATTGTGCTCATGGGGGGTTACGTGACAAATTGACCAGACTGTGGTCCAACAAAGACTGGGGTCAGTCACTGCAGCTCCTATGTGATGGCCAACACAGCCATGCGTCCTGGAGGCCAAGGGTCGTAAACAACAAACTGACTTTTCCAACTGCGGAAGAGGCTGCATACCCTTGGCTGTTCTGTGAAAGAGTGGTCAATATTGTCGAACAAGTTGCACTTTCCTTTGGTGGCGTTGTTTTCTCTACTCTGAAAGAACAGATGGATGCGACCCAAATTTCAAATTTCCAACGATATATATTTGATGCGTTGCCAAGGTCGGCAAAGCTACGACCAACCGTGCCTGAATATGGCAACTTTTTCACTTTGGGTCTGAACCCGCAGAATCCATCTTTTGCAGATCACGTTTTGAAGCGCCTTCCAAAAGGTGCCAAGATTCTATCTCGACAGCTGGTGAGATGGGATAATTTTCGGGACGAGATGGTGGACAAACGGGAAGTTGACAGTTGGCCAAACCAAATGCAACAAAACATGCTGCCATGGGCACGATTGAAATTTGCAAAATTGGGGTACCTTTTGACCCCAATGACTTTGTCTGCCGTGCGGTTCAAGCAGGCCATCCAAAAGATTTGCTAGCACAGGTCAGTGAGATGATTCAGGAGACAGTGTTGGCCAACTTTCACAGACCGCCTCATCTGCTTGCCAGAGAAAGAGTGGAGTTCTTGAAGAAGTATTCAGGTCTTGCGGTTGACATGAAGCGTGATTAACTGAAGCTGAGGTATCAGATGCCTCCTCACATACGAGACTTGATGCGGGGAAAACGGCTTGCTTCGTGGGGCCGCATACTTGAGGATCTGCACTATCCGGATACTACCTTGATCCAAGACATTGTACAAGGTTTCCCTCTTAGTGGTTGGATGCCGGCCAGTGGGGTATTTCCTGCCAGCGTCAAACAACCAGTACTCACTATGGAAGCATTGCTTGCAGGCTTGGATTCATTCAACGCAAAGGTCAAAAGTCAAATGAGCATGCGACAGGATTCAACTTTGGAAGCTGAAACTTGGGCAGAAACGATCAAAGAACTGGAAAAAGGCTGGATTTGGGAGGACCCAGATCAATCTTGGAGTGGTAAATGCGTAGCTCGCAGGTTTGGCATCCACCAAGGTGAGAAGACAAGAGTGATTGACGACTGCTCCGTCTGCGGGCTCAACAGAACAGTTGGGTTGCGTGAAAAGTTTGTCCTCCAATCCATTGACCAAATGTGCGCAATGTTGTGTTTGAGCTTGCGGAACGCGAAGGGCGAACGGCACCCTCAGGTGGTTGGAAGGACGTTTGACCTCAAGGCAGCATACAAACAATTTGGTTTGAGAATGGAAGATCGCGACTTGCTTAGGATCGCAGTAACTGACCCAGCACGAGATGCTCCAGTGTTGGTTGGCCTTAATGCCCTTCCCTTTGGGGGGTGGGTTCAGTGGCAGGATTTTTGCGAGTGTCTCTGGCAACCTGGTTCACTGGCATGGCAGGTTTGAAGATTTGCTGGACTGGTTACTTTGACGATTTTTCTGCAGTTTCACGGCCGGAGCTTCAGCGCAGCACGACTTGGGCTGTGGAAAGCCTGTTTGACCTGATAGGTCTTGACTTTGCGAGGGAAGGTCCTAAGGCTCCAGAGTTTGATGCAGTCTTCAAGATGTTAGGGGTACAGATAGATGCATCTGAAGCCACTACTGGAGTTTTTGCAGTTGGGCATACTGAGGATCGCAAGCGAGAGTTACTGAAAACTTTTGATGATGCGATCGAAACTGGCAGGATCACAACGAAATTGGCTGAGAGCCTGAGAGGGCGTATGGTTTTTTACGAGTGCTTTGCAGCTGGCCGTACAACCAATTTGCTTTTGAAGGAATTTGGGAAGTTGTGCAGAAGTGATCGTGTGATCGACGAACTATCGTCGGAAGACCTGGTTTTGATAGCGGCACTTAGAAGCCGAGTGGCTTATGCAAAGCCGGTCACCATTTCTTCAAAGTTTATGGACACTTGGTACATTTTCACGCATGGAGCTTGTGAGGATGGTGACGACGGGTTGAAAGTTGGAGGTGTGGGTGGAGTCCTTATTTCCTCCAATGGCCAATACCTACAACATTTTGGCATGACAATTCCGAGTGAGTGGATGTCATATTTCCTTAGACATTCGAAGCACCCCATCCACGAGATAGAGGTGCTGCCTGTTTTGATTTCATTTCATGTTTGGAAAAATTTCATTTCCAATTCCCAAGTCCTACACTACACTGACAATGACTCTTGCAGATACGCACTTATGAGAGGTACGGGAGAAACGCCCGTTGCAAAATGCCTTGTCGCCTCGATCATGGATCAGGAACACAAACTACAGACGAAGTCTTGGTACGGCCGTGTGCCGAGTCATAGCAATCCTTCCGACGTTCCAAGCAGAGGGTCCTTTGAAACCTTGACTGCTCTTGGCAGTATAGGGATTCAAATCCCATGGAGCGAGTTGTGGTCTACCCTGCCATCCCTATAGGGGGAGAGAACGGGGAGGTCCGACAACAGCCCCGATTTGGAAAAAAGGCGTGGTCCCAATTCTGCGTGCATGATCGTTTTGGAGATTGCTTGATTTGATTTTTGTGTAGTACATGTTCACTGATGTCCTTTCGTGATCGTTTATGCTTTGCTGCACGTGATTTTCCACGACACTTATTTTTCATTGATGACGACGAAAGCGTTTGGATTTTTGCGACGGCGTATCCCTTAGTGTCTGTTTATGAATATGGTGTGGGATATATATAGTGTAGTGTCTAGGGCTTATAATATGTGTGGCGGGCCAGTATTTGATTGAGTGGTCGGTGCGGCTGTTTTGCTGTAGGTGAAATAACTAGATCTGCAGATGTGAGGGCGTGAAAATGTAGATCTGCTGGTGTGAGGGTGTGAAGATGTAGATCTGCAGATGTGAGGGTGTGAAGACGTAGACCTGCAGATGTGAGGGTGTGAAATGTAGATCAGCAGATGTGAGGGTGTGAAAATGTAGATCTGCTGGTGTGAGGGTGTGAAGATGTAGATCTGCAGATGTGAGGGTGTGAGGATGTAGACCTGCAGATGTGAGGGCGTGAAGATGTAGATCAGCAGATGTGAGGGTGTGAAGATGTAGACCTGCAGATGTGAGGGCGTGAAGATGTAGATCAGCAGATGTGAGGGTGTGAAGATGTATTCAGCAGATGTGAGGGTGTGTAGATGTAGATCAGCAGATGTGAGGTTTTTTCAAATGTAGATCAGCAGATGTGAGGGTGTGAAGATGTAGATCAGCAGATGTGAGGGTGTGAAGATGTAGATCAGCAGATGTGAAGGTGTGAAGATGTAGATCTGCTGGTGTGAGGGTGTGAAGATGTAGATCTGCAGATGTGAGGGCGTGAAGATGTATCACAACGGCTGCTTTTTTACGAAGAACCCTTCGCAGGCGCTCTCGGGAATAAAGTATTTCTGGCAAAACCCACTTCCATGCCAAGATGGCTGAGGGTTGTGAAGGCCGGCTTGGGCCATGTTGAGGGCCATCTTGGGGCCAAGTTGGGCCCATGTCATCCTGGGGTTTGTTGGGGCCATGGGGCGCCATGTTGGGGACATGTTCCGGCCTGGTTGCGGCACAAAAAGGCCAAAACCCTTGTAAAACACAACGGTCACAGCACGGTTGGAAGCCAAGAGGCAGCATGCTGAGATTTTGGAGGGCCAACTTGGCTTCTGACCACGATGGCCCGTTTTGGGACCCTGCTGGCCCGTTTTGGGACCCTGCTGGCCCCAGGCCGAGGTCCACTTTCCACTGTTGGGCCAGCTTGAGGCCATGTTGTCACGATGGGGCCCCATCTTGTCGTGGGGGGGAATAGTCTGTGGTAGGGGCAGCGGCCCAAGTTCTCATTCGGAGAGGGATGTGAGGCATTCTGCCGGGCACACGGCCAGTGGCCGGATTATTTGGGGACTGGGGCGATTTGGGTCCTTTGCTAATTAAAGTGCAGCAGCAGTAGCAATGCAATGATTAGATGGAATGGGCCCACCAAAAAAACAATTTCACTAGGAAATTGTCCCGGAAAAAAAGAGGTTTGGGAATATCTTGGCACAATGCACGACCGGCTCATCATCACATGGGTCTAAAACAGAACATGTAGTGGGAAACGTGTCGATGATTCATGACCGTTCCACCAATCAACGCCAAACATTAATGATGACTGTTACCAACATAATACTGTAATGTAATAACGCGGAACCTCTTGTATCACTTGCAAATTCTGAAATTGGGATAGTCGTGTCAACAAAAAACAATAAAAACGTTGGTAGGAACTTGCCGCACATTTTTATTTTTTTTGACTATGTTTTTTTTTGACCTTTCAAACTTGAAAATCTTGAAAACACGAACATGCGCGTTGTGTTGTTTGATTTTTTTTGTGCGGGCATCGTGTTGGTTCTGTCAGGAAAACCAAGACATGTGAACCCATACTGCAATGAAATTGATCAGATTACTAATGGCCACGATGTCAAAAATCCCGAAACACCGACATGGACCATGGTGTAATTGGAATCGTTTTGTACGAACAACACGCGTGTGTTTTTGCTGTTATTGGTTGTCCATGTTTTTGCACAGACATTTCCAGATCAAATCATGGCCTCGGCGTAGAAACTTGAAACCAGGCGTAACCGTGAAAACACACAAACACCAAGTTGTGCTCTTTGAAAAAACGTTGCCTTTTCCAGATTTGACACTGCGATTCCCTGTGTTGTTAATTTGGTTGGAACGCCGCATGTTGAGGCAAGCGCCCGCCGGTTGGCGCCAGCCGGCCAGCATTTGATGGTACCGAACCGTAGACCATTTTCAGGTCAGATATTGGGTTAGACAAAACCATGCCGTCAAAATTGCATTTTGCATCGTGTGTGTTTGTGCCGCCCGTGACCTTGTGCAACTACAAAAATTGTTTTCTGCAGGGTCCTTCATTTTTTGGCTATGGTGTTTGCCTCAGTTCTGTTGCTTCCATTGGTCGTGCACCAAAGAACGATGCTGGTTGCAATTCGTCGGTGTTTCGATTCAACTGTTTTGTACCTTACAAGCGAAACTAAAACATCGGCATGTCACTTCCAACATGTAGTTTTTGATTGATCATTGGTGGCCTGAAGTATCAGACAATTGCTTGAAAAAAAATGAAATTTGACAACATGTATTGAATCCTTCCGCCAATGATGTGTCATCCCGTCCCATCCATTTAAAAGTCAAAAATACATCACATGCTTACTGCACCGATGTCTTCGGTCCCAGCTTTCATACTTTGGCGGATTTTTGTCAATGTGCCAAGGTACATTTCAGTCTTTGTGGTTGATGCTGACTGGTGTGTTGAGCCTTGGCAACTTGTATACTTGTATTGCAGGTGTGATCTTGGAATGGCCCCATAGCAAATAAATCAAATAGTATATAGTATATATATAAACGTTTTTACTGGGTAATGCAAATACTACGACGACGATGCACAAATTGAAAACGATACGGAAAGGGAACACTTTTGAGGTAAATGAAACGAGTCGGCAAGAAAACCAAAGGCTTTAAACTGGACCAAACATTTGGTTTATGAAGGTCCGAGTCCAAAGTGCAAAAGGATAGGGCAGCAGCAAAGATCCACAAACTATATAAAATGAAATAACAACACGAACTTGAGAATGCAAAACCTGCAAAAAATATGAAATCAATAATTTGAAGAGGCAAACCCAAAGTTACAAAGCAGGAAAACAAACAATTGTGACGAAAATGCTGAAAACATGTAAAATGTTTATGTATATATATGTAGTTCGTCTTACACGTGAAATCTTTTAATAGTTTTTTGTGACAACTGTCCCTTGAAGCTGTCCCGTAAGACCTTCAATTTGACTAAGGACCAGTCTTCGGGTGACTGCAAGGTGGTGCCAGTTTCGGCATTGATTTACATGTGGTGCATCAACATACACAATGAACCCTCTGTTTGCGCAGCACAGATGTTTCAGAACAAAAAACAAACCAAGACAGTGGTTTGAACCATTTGAACCACGCTGTTCTATGTGACGATTTCAAGGCGTTATTCTTGCAGCATGGAATCCAACTACACCAGGCTTGATGTGCTACGTGCATGTCATTGACTGTGAGTCCACTCCAGCAGCCTCTAGCACGTTCGGAAATAATAATAAACATATTTTTGTCGTGGAAACATACATGTTCAGAACGATTCCGCCAGAAATCATTGACTTTTGCCGTCGGAAGGTAACTGGTCCAGCTGGGCATCAGGCCATTAAACACGCTCGACATGGAGCACAGACGCTGAACAACACCTTCAGGGAGGTGGAAACGGCAACTACGCATTCGCCCAAAAATTTCAGCCGGAACTTGTCATTCGGCAAAGGAAAAGAGGAGGACTGTCCATTGCTCTTAGTTTTTGTGTTGCAAGATGGAATGACGTTTTGTATAGCAATGTTTGGATGTCAATATATCTGACATGTGCCTTGCCAGCCTATGGGGTTTGCATCCCTCAAATAGGACTCACTCCTGCTGAACCAGCTAGTGGCTCTCTCTTTGACCAAAGAGCGAAAAGCTCGGACTCTTTGCAGATCAGAATAAAGCCTTTGTCCACCAAGAATCATAAGAATCGATATCAATTGATTCAATTGGCCTTAGTGCTCGATATTGACTTCTCTGTAGTAATCAGTGTTGTCCTCACGGTCTTGTTGAGGGGAAGTACATCGACAGTATCTGCAATTATAAATATTGTTGCCAGAAACCCAGCTTGCCGTTGCTTCCTGATGTTTTTACCTTAGGATGAGGTCCTTTGATTATCATTGACCAACTAGTTTGGCCGAGGTGTTGGCCTTGTTGGTCGCTTTAATTGCTCTTACCTCAGACCGCTGACAGTAAGTTGTATAATGAGGGAGAGCTGGGAGTAGCTTACATTCCACCAGTGGACTAAATTATGGTTACTTGACGGTGACCTGGAGCGAACTTTGACCATTTGTGACCTCTCCTCGAAGCTGAGTCAGGTGTTGCTTTGCAGGCACGACATGAACCTCGAGGAAGCACGTACTGAGGCAAGTCCTGAAACTTGAAACACAAAGCACCCGAAGCCGCTCTCTTTTGCAGTGACATTCAGTCTCAAAATACCTATGTATATATATATATTATAATATATTATAATATAATATAATATAATATAACATAATACAATATAACATAATACAATATAATATAATATAATATAATATAATATAAATATATATATAATATAACGATTTTTACTTCTCTTTGCACCAGCAAGAACAAGAAATTCAGGGAAGCGTTTCTCCAGGGGGGATTCCTTTCCCGATCTCCGTCCTCTGCGGAAGTCTCAAATGAAGAACATCCAAATTTTGACCAAACATCTTAGCGTATTATATCTTAGCTAAACTGCCCGGTCTTCTGGCATTCCGGTCCCAGGTCCAAGCCAATCTCAAGTGCAGTTGCATGCACATTCGCATGTCCGGTTGCATATCCATTGGTATATCAATTTGCTTGATTGATCCTGATTGCTTGAAAGGTCCAGGAGGATCCGCGAATCCTCTACAAGCAGTTCGAGCAAAACTACTCCAAGGATAACGTGCTGCGGTTTCACGGATTTCCAATAAATCTGTCCCCAAGCCACAAAAAAAAAAATATCCAATATATTCCGAGACGTGACTTGTGACCGACAGTATATTCTTCTAAATAGCTCCTGGCAGCTTTGAGTGTATTTTGAAGGAACCATCTGTGGCTCGAAGACTTCAAGAGGCAGTGATTCAGTTCTCCATATATGTCAGTTTTTTATCCAAAGTTGGTCACTTTAGATCGAGCTGGCTTGGCTTATGCAGCTTTTTTTATTTGTTTCTTCCTGCCCTGTATCCCACGTATTGTCTCTGCAAAACCTCAGCATGGTTGGGAGCTATCTATTTGATGCAAAGATTCGTTTTGCGCTTCAATGCCTGATTGCAAGTTCTCATGAATGCTGTTGAATGCTGATGATTTGTTCAGTACATGACACTTGCCTTGTAAGTGGATTGCCAGTGCCTATCATGTTGGCAGACCTGCTGCTGATGCGGGCGCTGCATTTCATGTGGCTTCTCGAGAGCGCAAAAAATCTGCAAGTGTCTTTTGCCACTTCAGTGCTCTGTCGTTGTTGAGCCGGTCAAGCAGAAGTAGTTGGCGCACGCTTGGTAGACGGCCGCCATTTTCTTAATGCATTTTAGGATCATTTCGTATTGGTTTCTACAGCATTTTCTCGGTTTTTCGCTGTGCCTATAGTCCGTTTTTGACTCTCGTTTGTTTTTTCAAATATAAAAGTTGTGCATGTCAGAAGTTCCAGTTTTACACGTCATTTAGAATTTGCGGACGTTAGTTAGAAGTTGCGCACGTCACTTGGAAGTTGTGGATGATACTTAGAAGTTGCGCACGTCAGTTAGAATTTTGTGCACAACAGTTAGAAGTTGTGCACGAACGGCTGTGTGGACGAACGGCCGTGTGCACGAACGGCCGTGTGATTATTATGGGGAACCGGGTGGGGATCTGGATGGGGGGCTGGGCGAGGGGTGCGGGGAAAAAATATTAAAAAGGTATATTGAGTGAAGTTTTTAAACTTAAATTATAGCAGTATAACAACTCAAAAAATATTCACAAAAAAAACATAGCAGTCTAAAAGGTCATTTTTAATATTGTTGCTTGCTCCATTTTTTCAACAATATCAAAACTTAAATGAAAAATTATAACAGTCAAAACACTATTACCTCTTCCATGTTTCAAAAGCATAATTACCTCATTCATTTTCTAAAATCATAGCAGTCAATACATAATTACCTCATTCATTTTCAAAAAATCATAGCAGTCAATACATAATTACCTGATTCATTTTCTAAAATCATAGCAGTCAATACATAATTACCTCATTCATTTTCTAGAATCATAGCAGTCAATACATAATTACCTCATCCATTTTCTAAAATCATAGCAGTCAATACATAATTACCTCATTCATTTTCTAGAATCATAGCAGTCAATACATAATTACCGCATTCATTTTCTAAAATCATAGCAGTCAATACATAATTACCGCATTCATTTTCTAAAATCATAGCAGTCAATACATAATTGCCTGATTCATTTTCTAAAACCATAGCAGTCAATACATAATTACCTCATCCATTTTCTAAAACCATAGCAGTTAATACATAATTACCTCATTCATTTTCTAAAGTCACAGCAGTCAATACATAATTACCTCATTCATTCCATAAAATCATAACCACCTACCATTTCCTCTACCTCATTCATTTCATAAAAACCATCACAGTCAATTCATCATACCCTTATTCATTTTCATAAATTTCATCACTACTAACCATATCATCATCTCATTCATTTTCATAAATCATAACAACCTACAACCTTTCTACCTCATCCATTTTATAGAAATCAGACCAGTCAAAGACATCATTCCCTCATTCAATCCATACCCAAAACAAAACAACCAACAAACCAAGCAAAGAACAACATAAAGAACAAAACAATAGACCACAATAAGTATAAACCCCTACACAATAAGTATAACCCCCTACCCTTTAATGATCCTATTTTAACATTCCATAATTCCAAGAATGTTATTATTAAAATTATGTTATTCAATATTCCAAAAATGGTAAGTTTGAAAGTAAATGCCTGAATTCCAATGATTTTGATTTGCCGTCGGACTATTCTAATCTCGTTCGTCAACTCTTTTGATAAATCAAGTAAAGGAAGAAAACTGTTATTTTCATCACTACCATCAACAATACCAATTAAAGTGTGGTGTTCAAACTCGTGTTCGTATTATATGTCAGGGTGTCTTGCTATTATTTCCGCCATTACTTTAAGTTTCACTTTAAAATCTAAATTATCTTCTACTTCTTCATATATCAAAGAACGCAACTCGTCTTCCTCTTTCAGTATCATCTTTTCAACGCTGTCTATCTTGAATGGCACACCTTCTCTCATTACACATTACTGTCTAATGACTTTTTTTGGTTTGTTTCCCTTTCTTAATCTGTATGTTGTAATTTTTGGTTGAGTTTTAGTAATTCTATATTTGTTCTGTATTCTCTTTAATGCCTCAATATATGGCAATATTTGATTTTCAGGGTATTCCGATTTATAAGACACAATCTTACTCAACACTTCAACAGGCAAATCCTTCACACAATCCATACTAATTTTCGAAAATACTATTTCTTTCAGTATACATTCAAAGATTGAAATATAGAAAACTTTAAAAAACTACTTAAAAATAAAATAAATAAACAATATATATATATACTATTATATGATGAAAAAAGTTATAGACTATTTATTGAGTAATGATTTAGCAGAAATACCAAAAAGAGGAAGAAGAGAATTAAAGTCCATAATAATAGATGATAAAAGATTTAGATACAACAAAGACAAACCGATATCTAATGTTTTAACAAAGAAACTATTAACAGTAAAGAAAACTAATGAATACAGAAGTTATGCTATGAAAAAGGCACCAGATGTTGTAAGTAGAGAAAGGGTTAGACAATTACTAACCAAACACGCAATAAGAAACAAGTTTAGGGTCAAAGATATTCAATCAGCATTCAGAAGATATGCCAACTCAATAGTTTTGGACAACAGACACTTTGAAGGAGAAAGAGGATCGGAAATGATAGCGCACCAAAAATCAAGATTTTTAGAGTTTTTAAGAAAGAACAGAAGCATGAAACTTAACATAAGAACGGAAGGTTTATTTGAAAAACCTGAATATGATGACGGAGGAAATGAATTAGGAAGTGAGGAACTTGTATATGCCTTACCATCAACACGCTTCAATATCAGTAATGAAGATGAACTGACACAAGCACTAGAAGATATTGACAGATAGTGTTATCCAAATCCGATTACAAATACAAAAGTTAGAAGGTTCCACATCTAATTTAAGGTTCAAAAAGATTTTATCAATAACCATTCACTATGATAAATATGACCCAACAAGAGAAGGTAAATGTATTGAATTACCACAATGGATTAAACTAAAAAAGGCATGTATCAACATCAAAAACAAAGACCAAAAATGCTTTTAATACTGTATTCAATCCGTAGTCTATGACAAAATAAGCAAAAATCACCCAGAGGAAATGTTCCACTATAATTTATTAAATAATGATATTTTGAAATGGGATGGTGTAAATTTCCCATCTGGTAACAGAGATATAGACAGATTTGAAGAAAACAATAAATCAATTTCAATCAATGTTTTTGCACCTGATGACTGCCTAAATGATAATAAGATTATCTTACATAGAGGCACTAAAAACAGAAATGCTAAATATGAAATTGATTTGTTAAAAATCTATGATGAAGATAATAACTATCACTATGTTTTAGTAAAAAACAAAAGTAGATTACTTAACTGCCAAAGCAACGCTAATACAAAACAGAAACACTACTGTCACCATTGCTTAAATCCCTTTCAAACAGAAAAGGCATATAAGAACCATCTTGAAAAAGGTTGTATGGCATCAAAGGGACAACAAACAAAGATGCCCGATAAAGACACTTATATTGAATTCGAAAAGCATAATACTAAATTGCCTTGTCCTTTTGTAATCTATGGTGATTTTGAATGTCTAGCCACCAACTCTAACAATGGCATAAAGGGCTTACCAAGAACATAAACCATGCGGTTGTACGTTGAATGTTGTAAGCAGGATTTATAATACTTGCCAACCATACTTGTACAGAGGTGAGGATTGTATGAAAAAGTTTGTCGAAAAACTGACTGAAATTAAGCAAGATATTTTTGAAAAAACGAATGTTAATGAACCAATGGATGAACTGACTTACGAACAAAAGACAGAATCTAGAAACGCTACAAACTGCTCCATTTGTGGTAAGAAATTTCAAGAAGACGATACAAAAGTCCAAGACCATTGCCATTTCAGTGGTAAATGCAGAGGCGCGGCACATGTAAAATGTAATTTGGATTACTCATTTAAGTATTTTAAAATCCCCATTTTCTTTCATATTAAAAACTATGACGCCCACTTAATCATAGCAAAAGCAAATGAACTAAACATAGAACTTAACCAAACCAAGAGAATAGATGTAATAGCACAAAACAGCGAAAAGTTCATAACCTTTTCATTTGGCGCTTGCCAGTTTAAAGACAGTTTCGCTCTCTTATCAGCGTCACTAGATAAGTTAGTTAGATTAAACAAATATGAAGGAAATGAAAAGATGAAAGATTGGGAAACGCATTTTAGATATACAAGCAGCAACCCATATATTAAATCTAAAATTGACTTGAATTTACTGACTGATAAGGGTGTATATCCCTATGACTATATGAACTCATGGGATAAATTTGATGAAACAAAACTACCAAAGAAAGAATATTTTACAGTCAATTATACTAAGAAAACAAAACTGACAAAGACTACGCCAGAGCAAATATTGTATGGAAACATTTTAGCATTAAAAACCTTGGTGAATGACAGTAGTACCGCACAAGGCGGTGGCGGAAGTTTCGAAAATAGGAAACCTATAGGAGAGCTTGGTTGTTGTGAATCAGGGATGGCAGAGCGAAGCCACTGATGGACTGAAAGGTGCTTGATCTCTCTCTGGCTCTACCTACCTATCTATCTAGCTGTCTAGTTTTCTAGCTATTTGTCTATCTATCTATCTATCTATCTCTCTCTCTCTATCTATCTATCTATCTCTCTCTCTCTCTATCTATCTCTCTCTGTATCTATCTCTCTCTGTATCTATCTCTCTCTGTATCTATCTCTCTCTGTATCTATCTCTCTCTATCTATCTATCTATCTATCTATCTATCTTTCTATCTACTTTCTACCTACTTTCTATCTATCTATCTATCTATCTATCGATCGATCTATTGATCTATCGATCTATCGATCTATCGATCTATCGATCTATCGATCTATCGATCTGTCGACCTATCGACCTATCGACCTATCGATCGATCGATCGATCGATCTATCGATCTATCGATCTATCGATCTATCGATCTATCTATCTATCTATCTATCCACCTATCTACCTATCTACCTATCTCTCTATCTGTCTATCTGT